CACGGGGGCAGGGGCGGGGCGCGAAGGTCCGGGGTGGGGGCGGGCGCGTTTCAAGGAGAACTCCGAGCAGCACCCTTCAGACCTCCGTGGTGGCTCGTTGTACAAAGGGATTCGGCCCTCCCCGTGCAGTCCCCAAACTCGCTGGCAGCGTCCACTGGCTGGGAGGAGCACCCTCTGCGCAAAGTGGCTCTGTCCTGGCGGGAGCCCTCTCGCAGGCGGTTGGGGTGTACATGGTTCAGCCGCTGGGGGGGGGGATCGTTTTGGGGGCTCCTCAGGACCATGAGCACAGCCCCACCACGGGGCCCCCGCAACGCCCATCCTAAGTCTGCACGGCAGGACACCAACGCACCAACCCCATGGGGCGCTTTCCCCCAGAATCCCTAGGCAGAGCAGCTGGGGTGCCCATGACCCCTGAAGGAATGTGCCCCGCAAACACAAGGGTGTCCCACGCCCCCACGGGACTCCTGACGCCTCCTGAAGTCGCCTGCTGAATGCAACAAGTCCGCCCCCAAAGGCAGAGTCGGATCTGACCTCACTTGGACCAACCGGCCAAATGCATAGAGACCAGACAAGCGTGCGGGAAGGGTGGACCTGTGTCGCTTGGGGACCACTGAGTTTGTGTCCGTGGTGAGGCAGCGCTGTGGAAAGGGACAGTGAGAGTCGCTGCACAACTGGAAAGGTGTAATCACTGGATTATACACTTAGAAACGGGCGTGTGTTTGTTGTGTGTATCTCCATACGAACGGTCCAGGTCTCCAGGTGGGGGTTGGGCAGCAGGGCAGGAGGCTTAGCTGGGTGACTCCGCCTTTGGGAGCAGAGGGCATCATTGCACTCTGAGCACCCAGTGTTCCAAATCCTGTTTCCTCCTGACTAGGAGGAGACTGTTATCACAGTTGGAAGGCAGGAATGGGAGGAGGAGGTGAAGGATAGATAAGGAAGTCCTTGGATGGGCTGACACAGGTGTCCAGAGAACCTGGAGGAAGTGCATGGGAAACGTAAGAAAACAAGCTGACTGGACACCTGTGAGAGGAAGGTGGATGACAAACAGGCCTGGAACCTTTTCCCTGGGCTCTCATGGGGTCAAACTGAGTTCTAGACCTGCGATGGGTACTAGCAGAGTCGCTACAGCCATGTGTGGCTACTGAGCACTGGGATTGGTTGGCCACTCGTGCCAATACTGATGTGCTAAACTATAGCTCAGTGACCTACTGAGTTGCCAAGGCCTGGTGGCGTAGTGATTACGCAGCAGGCTGCTCAACATGGGGCCATCAGTTCACAAAGAAGGGAGGAAGATACCAGAGTGAAGAAAACTCTGGGGGGAGGTCAGATGCTTACAGACATCCTCCCAGAAGGCAGTTAGTCGCCAGACTACACAGTAGGCCTGCTCCCTGCTGCTGGGGACAATAGACTACTTTACCCTGAGGCTTGCCACCTTTAGCTTGGTTCCTCTAGGTGGAGTTCACACCCTACTGATAATGGTCTCTATCAGTTGAGCCAGGGAACAGGTCAAACTGGCTCTGTGGCATCCAAAGTTAAGCGGCCATCCTCATTCCAGGATCCGCCCGTCTTGCCACATGTATAAACCCCAATCCCTCCTCTTCCTATTGCGTGGATACCTCTAGATCACCCCCTCCCATTACTGTATTACCTATAGCACAACCCCTTCCTATGACACATGTCTTCCCCTGTAATTAGGGGGCTTGCATGTCCCCAGAGAATATAAAAGCCTTGGTTAGCATTAAAGATTCTCTCTCTCCACGTGGACCACCAAGCGGGGCTGAGGTGAGCATGCTACCATGAATTGTGTCTGACTCTATTTATTTCTATATTTCTCTTCTATCTCTCATGCTCTCTATAACTTTACTATAATCTTTACTTATTATCACTGTACAATTGTGCCTACTGGACCCGTAATGATGTGCTAGGGGCTGGCTTCCCCTTGCAGAAAATATTCTAAAATTGATTGTGATGATGATTGCACAACTCTCTTAATATATTTATAACACTGACTTGTATGGTACGTGAATGATATACCAATAAGACTACTAAACATACACACACATGGATGACTCTTGGAAACATTAAGAAAAAATCAGACACAACAGGTCACATCATATATAATTCCATTTCTATGGAATATCCAGAATAGGCAAATTCAGAGAAACAAATTAGATGTGTGGATCCCAGGGCCCGGGAGAAGGGAAGAATGAGGAGTGGTTGCTTAATGCGTGTGGGTGCCTCTTTGGGATGATGCCAATCTATAATGGGGGTGGCCCCACCATGATTTGAATGTAGAAGCACCACTGGATTAAATCCTTGAAAACAAGAGAATGCGAAAAAGACCCAAGGAGCTGAGATCTAAACAGGCCAGGGACTTCCCGCACTCCGAAGAGAACACACACCAGCTCATTAGCATATGGAGAAATGCTCAATGTAGAGGTCATCCAAGCGGTGAAATGCTTTTTGTCCTTTGCCAGATGAGCAAATCCAAACCAAACAACCCACATACAGAAAGTTAGGAAGAAGTCAGGGAAACGGAGACACGCCCCCGTTGTGGGCAGTTGGTTTCAGCCTTTCTAGAAGGTGATTTGACAGTGGGTATCAGCACCCTTAAGTAGCTTATCACGTCGCCCAATCACAGTCCTAACCAGCAGAACCTGGTTTATCGGCACAGTTGTCTGTGCATCGTTCATAGAACAGCGGAGACCCGTTTTCAGGTCAACAATGGCTATGAATGACACCCTGGGAACAATATTAGGAATACTGCGCAGTTTTGGACATGGCAAAGCTGCACTATGTACGTCACATCTTTCAGAAAGAGCCCCGGGTGGTGAAAATGGTGCGTGGCTGCTCACCAAAAAGGCCGGAGGTTCCAGTCCACCCGGTGAACCTCAGAAGAAAGTGCTGGTGCCCCACAGCCCCCAAGCCAGCCTTTGAAACCCCATGGAGCACAGTTCCACTCTGACACACAGGGGTCCCGTGAGTTGGAGTCAACAGCGGTCGGTATGTTTCCGGGTACGTAAAACAAAGCCCACCTAATAACAGAAAGTCACAAGAAAAGTCAATTTGGCCCCAACCTTCTCCAGTGTCTGTCTCTGAGGAGTAGGACAAGGGTTACGTAAGAAATGCTACAGAGGGATCACTGTAGGAGGTGGTGGAGGAGATGTAGAACAAAGCTCACAATCCTGAGACAGGCCCGGTTTACTGGTCTTAGAGAAATTGGTGCAACGCTGGAGACGAAGGCCCTCCGACAGGCTTCAGACCTGGAACTGAACTACCGCCCACGATTCCACTTTTGGCCCCTTGCTCTCTAGGCCTAGAAGACGACCCATAGCATTTCTGGGACGATCAGCCATCGAAAATCAAAAGGGCAGCTTTGCCCAGAGATGAGCCCAGAAGGCAAGAAGGGATAAGGAAGACGGGTGTAGGGAGTGGGAACACACAGGCAGGAAGGGGGAAGAGGCCGGCTACCTTGTGGGAACTGTGATCCATGTCAGGCACCCAAAATGTGCATGGACTGTGGATGGGAAATCCAGTTTACTCTGTAAGCTTTGCCCAACTCACAATGAAAAAAAGGTCAACTAAAGTCTAGGGCAGTGAGTTAGTGAACTGTGCCAGCCTGGCCGATAATCACATGTGGGGTAATTGAAAGGCGGAGGGATAAATGGGTGGTGAGC